TTGATTTAAATGATCCAGATTTATTGAAAAATGACAAACCAGCTCGCATATCAGATGATGACCCCAGACTGGGTGTGTCTAGTCTACAGAAATTCTCAGGAGAAGATCTCAATAGCAAGGGAAGAAAAAAGTTGCAGCAAGAACAAGTGAGGTGAGAGAATATTTTCATGGCTTCTTCTACTCACATCATCATAAACGACACAGGCAGATTCAGCCACGAGCACAAGAAAAATACCTTAATATCATTTACTATATTTACTTGTTACTGTAGTCCAGGGGTCAATAACATTTTCATGTGCCAGATACCTTAATAGTTTGCTGACTAGTCAGCTCAGTCCTTCATGTATTTTCTCCAATAAAATTAACTACAGTCGTGCAATAATAATGACTAAAGGTCTTTCTCTACGACTTGGAGTTACGACTTTTCTTTTACGTTTTCAGCAATTATTTTTACCGGACTTTCTCGAAGAATGAACGGAAAAGCTAGCAGTTGTACTACAAGTGCGCCAATTAACGAAAAATCTTATGTTTCTAACTTATGTTTCTAAAAGTTTTAGAAAATGTGCCTGCATGCAGGAAACTTGTTTCTGATGTGCTTGCGACTGTCAGTCCCAGCTGTCCCACAGTCATAACCTGGGGCTGGTTGTATAAAAAATAGTTAAAGTTAACTACACTTAGTGCAAAAGTTAACTAATCAGAATCGCGTATCTGAGAGTTAACTACTATTTAACTACAAAACGGGTTAAAAAATAGTTAATCCTTCCACAACCTCGTTCCCAGGCTCTTAGCTCTTGTGGACAAGGCAAGACTTTATTGTTTATTGTACCTTTTTTTACAATTCAGATTATTAATTAATGCAAACAGATCAAAATTTGTAGGGTAGTGGCTTCTTGAAATAACTTAAGAGCTAAAAATGCCAAGAAGCCAAGCTAAAAATGGCAAGAAGGAACGATCTTGTTAAATATCAAATATTTATCAACATCATCAATTAAAAATCTGCTAGATTTTAGCTGATCACGTGACCAGCTCCTACCAGGGACTTTCCTCCACAAGAGGTAAGAGCCTGGGAACGAGGTTGAGCCTTCCATACAACCGGGCCTTGAACGTCAGGATTTTTTGTTTGTCTTATCACCTGCGTGCGGCCTGATATTCACGTTACACCAGAGTCACACATTTAATTAACATGCCTGCAGTATTTTCTCGATTAAGCGCCGCATTGTTTGAGAGCAATATACTAAGGGCCTGTTTATATGACCCCGGCCAGGCGGGACGGGATGCTTACCGAGATCTCGCTCGTAATACAAATTATAAAGAGTGTTTATATGATCCCGCCATTTATCCCGCCTAGACACGGGATCTTGGCAACAGATGCCGGGATCCCGCCTAAGCGAGATGAAAAATTCCCATATAAACACTTTATCCCACCTAGCCGGGACGAAAAATTCCCATGTAAACACTTCATCCCGGCTAGGCGGGATGAATTTTTCCCTTTTGAGCATGCGTAAATGCCTTTATTGCAACAAAAATATGACGTCAAGCACTTAAATGGCTTCATCCCGGCAATGTATTTTGTCCATATAAACACAAGGCGAGTATCCCGTCTAGGCGGGATGAAAACGTCCCGTCTAGGCGGGATCATCTAAACAGGTCCTAAAAGGCCGCCCTCGTGCAAGTAAGGCAGTAAAAATTTAAAGAGCGTCGCGGCACTTTTAAGTAATCAAAATTAAACAAGTGAATACA